AAGCGATTAGAGAATTTCGAAAAATAGTGGAGGTTCTTGAAAACAAGGAGCAAAAGCCGCTCGAATTGAACCAGGGAATTTCAGAACCAAGAGCAAACGGCTCGAAAGAGGCCAGAGTTTTTCAAAGAGACTAGAAAGTTTGGAAACAATGAGAGAACCGCTCCAAAGGTATTCAGAAATTTCGATAAGCATAAACAAAAAACTCTCGAAAGAGACTAGAGGATTTCGAAACAGACTAGAGAAAAACAAGGAGCAAGCCGCTCGAAAGGAACTAGAGAATTCGAGAACAAGGAGCAAGCCGTGCGAAAGATATTCCAGAATTTAGGACAGATTCTACAGAATTTAGGAACAAGGAACAAACCGCTGGCAAAAGGACTAAAGAACTTGAGAACACGGGGGCAAACCGCTCGAAGGAGATAAAGCTCGAAAGGAACCAGGGAATTTCAGAAGGAGCAAACCGCTGGAAAGCGATTAGAGAATTTCGAAAAATAGTGGAGGTTCTTGAAAACAAGGGGCAAAAGCCGCTCGAAAGGAACCAGAGCATTTCAGAACCAAGGGCAAACCGCTCGAAAGAGGCTAGACTTGTTCAAAGAGACTAGTACTCTAGAGAGATTGGAACCAACGAGAGAACCGCCACAAAAGTGTTTAGAAATTTCGATAAGCATAAGCAAAAAAACGCTCGAACGAGACTAGGGGGTTTCGACAAGGACTAGAGAATTTGAAAACAAGGAGCAATCCGCTCGAAAGGAACTGGAGAATTTCAGAACAAGGAGCACACCGCTCGAAAGATACATTTTCGAAAGAGACTAGAGAATGTCAAAAACAAGGAGCAAACATTCCAAAAGAACCAGAGAATTTCAGAAGAAGGGGCAAACTGCTCGCAAGGGACTGGACTAGAAAAATTCAACAGAGACTTGCGAAATTGAAAACAAGGAGCGAACCGCTCGGAAGGAACTAGAAAATTTCAGAAGAAGGTGCAAACCGCTCAAAGGAGTGTGTAGGTAGACGATGTCGAAAACACCAAAGAGTTTGTATTCAAGGAGCAAACCGCTCGAAAGGAACTAGAGAATTTCAGAAGAAGGAGCAAACCACTCGACAGGAAGTCGAAAGGGACTAGAGAATTTCAGAAGAAGGAGCAAGGCCCTCGAAAGGGACTAAAGAAATTCGAAAGCGACTAGAGAAATTGAAAGCAAGGAGCAAACCGCTCGAAAGGAACTAGACAAGTGCTGAAGGGGCAAAGGGAATTTCGAAAGAGATTAGAGAAATTGAAAACAAGGAGCAAACCGCTCGAAAGAGACTAGAGAGTTTGAAAAACAGGAGCAAACAACTCGAAAGGAACTCGACAAGAACTTGAGAATTGCAGAATAATGAGCAAGCCGCTCGGAAAAGACTAGGGGATTTCGAAAGAGTCTAGAGAAGTTGAAAACAAGGAGCAAGCCGCTCGAAAGGAACTAAAGAACTTGCAGCAGAAGGAGCAAGCCGCCCGAAAAGCTGCGAAGAGACTACAGAATTTTGACAGAGACTACACACCATTCGAAAGAGACTAGAGAAATTGAAAACAAGGAGCCAAACCGCCCCAAAAAATTAGGGGATTTCAGAAGAAGGAGCAAACCGCAGGAAAGGGACTCTTGAATTTCAGTACAAGGGCTAGAGAGTGTGAAAACAAGGAGCAAACCGCTCGAAAGGGACGGGGGAAATTCGGAAGAGACTAGAGCAATTGAAAACAAGGAGCAAACCGCTCGCAAGAAACTAGAGACATTCAGAAGAAGGAGCAAACCGCTCGAAGGATACCAGGGAAGAAGAATTACGAAAGAGACTAAAGAATTTCAGGAGACGGAGCAAACCGCTCGAAGGAGACTATAGAAAGTTCCGAAAGACGCTAGAGACTTTGGAAACAAGGACCGTTCTAAAGCGAAAGCGCTAGATAATTTCGAAAGAGACTAGAGAGACTGAAAACAAGGAGCAAGCCGCTTGACAGGAATTAGAGAATTAGAAAACAAGACCATAGAGAACTTCGAACAACACCAGGGAGTTTGAAACCAAGGAGCAAACCGCCCGAAAAGAGCTAGAGAATTTCAGAACAAGGAGCAAACCGCTCGAAAGGAACTCGAAAGGAATTAAAGAATTTCAGAAGAAGGAGCTAGCCGCTCGGAAGAGACTAGTGAATTACGAAAGAGACTGGAGAAGTTGAGAACAAGGAGCAAGCAGCTCGAAAAGAACTAGAGAATTCCAGAAGAAGGGTCAAACCACCCGAAAGAAACTAGATAATTTCTATTCGAGCACTGTGCTTGCAAATGTAAAAGGTTGTGCGCCCTCCTTGAGCCCGGAGCACACCGCGCGAAAGAGAGAGTTTCGAAAGAGACTAGAGAATTGCAAAAACAAGGACTGCTTTCTTCTTCTCATATGTAAACAGACGACGTGCTGATGAAGACCCTGAGCCCTGACCCTCAACAGCCACAGTGCAGTTTCTGCAGCAGCAGTCTCGTCATCACCCTCAGACGTGGGACCGGGCGTTTCCTCTTCTGGTGGCGGAGTGGTGTCCGGTGTCCGCTTCTGCCGGTGGAGCGGGGGGGCTTGCACCCTGCTTTGGCTCGGGGGGCCGCAAGCCTCAACCAACACCATTATATATAACAACACCTTTGACATCAGCGCGTCAAACCGCAGCCTTAAACTAGAGCGCAAATTAGCCAAAGTCGCGAATGTCAGAAAAAGGGAGCAACGGTCCGGCTTGGACCTGTTTTGCAACCAGTACTGCTGCCGACATATGGCTATGTCCGTGCAGCTGCAGATGCCAAAGGACTCCAAGGCGGTCCGGACCTCCTCGGCAACCATACCAGATGAGACAACACAGAAGGCAGGACAAGACACGAAATTGCAAGCAGGGCTCCCGCTTCCGCACTTCGAAAGAAACGTTCTTGACATACACCCGCATGTCGGCGGGCGAAAGTGGCGGCTTGAGAGGACAAGCCGTGATTCGGAAGACCCTGTTCGAACAGCTCTACACAAAAC